TATTCTGCTGTAAAAATCAGCCTGTCACTCTAGTTAATGATATGTACACTGAAGTGTTTAGGAAGAGAAGTGTTATCATGTCTGTAACTTATTTTGAAATGCAACAATAAAATAAGATGGTTTGGTGGATGAATAGAGGTCTAGCTAGATGGAAAGATGCAATAAAGCAACTATAGAAAAAGCTAATGGTAGAATCTAGGTGGTGAATATATAATGTTCACTGCGGAAGTAATCTGTCCTTAAAAGAAGGAGCCTGGAGGTGCAGTGGTTAAGTGCTTGACTGCTAAGCAAAGTTGGCAGTTCAAACTCACCAGCTGCTCCATGGGAAAAAGATGTGGCCATCTGCTTCCGTGAAGATTACAGCTTTAGAAACCCTATGGAGCTGTTCTACTCTGTCCTGTAGGGTTGCTATGAGTCAGAATTGACTGGACAGCAGTGGGTTTGGGTTTTTCTTTTTTTTGATCCTTAAAGGCCTAGCTTATGTTTCAGGACTTTTAGGAAATCTTGCTAGATTTTCTGAATTATTTGTAGCCTATTACCCATGCATGTTCCTAGAACCTCTTTCATGGCAATGGTTGTTTAATATTTACTGTCTTGTCTTAGTCCTTGTGAACTCCTTGTGGGCAAGCATGCTGTCTTATCTTTCTATCCCTAATGTACTGGACAGGCACAAAAGAGATGATATGATCCCCAGATGAATGTAGAATTACTTCAGGAAAGTAGCAAATAACTTTAAAGTTAATTTTGTTGAAAGTCCTTTTTGTAATGTAAGGTTTACTTAGATTAAATACCACCACAAATGTGCTCATAAGTATCAGAGAAACAAAGGTTACAGTTTCTAATACCCAACATTCTGATCTTGGCTGCAAGAGAATAAGACTGTGCTTTCTGGACTTGAGGCCCACTCCCAGTTGCATCAGTGATGGTTGGTGCCTGTGAGCTCCCAGTCTTTGGTTAGGGAATCCTGTACCTTAGTGATATGATTCAAATCCTGGGCTGTGGACTATATAGACCACCCCATTTGGAGGGCAATGCTAAAGGAACTATAATTAGGGCTCAGTATGTCCTATCAGGGTCACTGCCAAGAATCCAATTAGAACCGAATCAGTTTTTCCAATTGTTAACACAACCCCAAGAGACATAAAGATACTTCAGAGTAGTTTGGAATGGCGTATTTGTTTCCTTAAGCATATTTTAATTGTGGGAAGATTTAGAATTAGACATAGAAATTTTCTAATAGAATCAAAGCCATAGTGTTCATGTTTTTAATTTAAAGGATTTGTGCGTATTTGATATTTCAAGTAATAGTTTGAAATAATTTGGCTATGTAACAGGCTAGCTTCTATTTCCAATTTAAAATGTCCAATGAAGTAATTGATTTAGACTTTTGATTAGAGAGAGATTTGAAATCTTACGAGGTTTTTTTTTTTTTTTTTTTTGGCAATATTAGACCATTTAAGAAACTTTATTAGGTTTCTAAGAGTTGCTTAATGGAAGGTTTGGAAGTTAAATCAGACAATTTTAGTATGTAAAAGAATTAAATACATTAACTATATTTATATATTAAAATATAGTTCTAAATGTTTAAAGGGGTTTAATGAAGTTTGTAAAAAGGACCAAACATAATCGAAAGTGATTGTAAAAATGTGCTCATTTATAAAGAGAATTATAAGATATATAAGTTCAACTTAAAACTTGTAATTTTTTTTTTTAAACCAGGTAAGCCTGAATAGTATTTTCTGTGCACAAAGCCACCTTTATGGTCGTTTTAAAAATCACATGAAATAAAACGACTGACACTGTGTCTAGGTCATAGTAGATGCTCAGTGTTAGTTAAATTTTAATTTAAAATTTGAATCAGCACTATTCCTGATGGTTAGGCAAGAGGAAACACACAGGAACCTCAAGTTCCTTAATATTCATGGTTTGAAAGATGATATGAAAGAAAGTGAACAGGCTTTTGAAGGATGATTTTGCTCATCTAAAGCAGAGACATGAGGGTTATGATAAGGCTTCAATGAAATGATGATTATAATGTTAATCCCCAGCAGATAGTAGATACTCAATAAAGACTCCTTGTAGTAGTAATTTTTAGAACTACTGTAGTCAAACTGGAATATTGACTGGGCCATGCATTGCCAAGAAGAGCTGTTCGCATAGACCACCTGCTATGCAGTCAAATGTGGCTGTTCTGGTTATTGATCTCATTCATGCAACTAAATGCCATAGGAAACTGAAAACTAGTTACGTGTGCTATGTGTCACACATATCAAGCTACTCTCTCTGCTTAAACAGAAAATGAGCAAGTATGGGAGCAAGAGACATTTCTGCTACCTGGACGACGTTCAGATGAAATTGCATGTAGTACAGAGCCCTGGATTTATTTATTCTTGGCCACTCAGACAGCCCTGAGCAGTGTGCATAGTGAGGCCCTGAACTAGAGGATGCTTGGCTAGTCTGCAGACATTGCCGTTTAGGTCTGGCTTCTAGTAATTAGGCACTTCTAGCTGGGCTGTGCTGTCATCGAGCCTTTGAGACAAATTGCAAAATCTGTACAACCATCTGAGAGACGGAGAAGCAGACCCAATGACACTACAGGGGATATTGGTGGTTCTCAAAAGTTTGAAAGCAAATGCTTAGAGAAGTCCTCAAAGCTGAATTTAGAAATCCTTTTCCTGTGGTTGAACAGTAAGTCAGTCACAGAATTAGGATCTGAGAAGATCCTGACAGTTTGGAATTTTAGGCTTCATCTAACAGGATGAAATGGAATATAAATAAATGTAAGCTTCTGTATTTGGATCAGAATACCCCAACTGTGCATGAAAAGACAGAGTAGGCGATGTATCTGAGGAGTAGCCCATATGAAAGAGACTTAAGAATTCAAGTTGACATAAGTTGACATTTTACTGTGGTCCCCAAAAAGCTAAATGCAGTGTTAGGCTGCATTAATAGAGGTGGAGTGTTTACGATGAGGGAGGTGACAAGTCTACTCTCTTGTGGGCCTTTCGTAGTAGGAGTATCCCTACAGTTCTGGATTCCACAGTATGAAAGGAAAATAGACAAAGGATCTTCACAGGATGGTGTGTGGGAGTGTTCCAAAACTTGTCACAGATAACAAAAGAAGAGAGGGAAGGTTTAGCCTGGTACAATTCCAGGAGGACCTGAAAGCTGTCATTAATATCTAAAGGGCTGTCATGTGGTTAAGGGACTAACCTTGTTCTTGTGGACTTAGGGATCTGTAGGTGAAAGTTACAGGGAGCCCCAAATAAGGAGAGTCTTTTTAAATTTTAAATACGTTTCAAGATAGAATGGGTTGCTTCCTTATTTCTAGAAGTGTTTGCTTAGGTTTATGGAGACTTAGACTTTTGGGAATGGGTATGGATGACCCAGAAGTATTTTCCAGCTCCAGAACTCCATGATTTCTTTGCCTTCCAGTGGTGATGATGTCCAGAAAGGTCCTACCTAAGACAGGCAGGTGGTGAACAGAGCCATGATTTCAGGAGCATTCTAGGCAGGAAAGGGAGAGTCTTTGGATCAGAATACCCCAACTGTGCATGAAAAGACAGGGTAGTGTCCTATGAGGACACTCTCATGTTGGTTCTTATCAGTGTTTGCAGCCAGTTCTTTACTCTGCCAGGGGAGATCTGGGGGTGTGTGGGCACTTGCTTTCACCAGTGGCTGTGTTATTTATTCAGTGATTTATTCTGTGTGCCAGACAGTGTGTTGGGTGCTGGCAAGACTTTTTACACCCTCTTTGGGTATAAAAATATGGTTTCTATGTAAGACAGCAAACAGAGATTATACAAATAAGGCTATACAGTTATAGTTATAATTTGGATACATATTAGGAAGGAAAACTGCAGAATGTACTGCTGTGGGATGGTAGAGCAAGGAAACAAAACCTGGTTGGGTGGTTAGAGAAGACTTCCCTGAAGGAGTGACATTAATTGGGGCCTTGAAGGTTAAGTAGGAGTTTTCTCAACAGTCACAGCGTGGTGAAGCACATGAATGATTGCCACAACAATAGACGTCAAACTTATTCTTGACCAAAAAGAGTTCTGATTAGGATGGAGCTGATATAAAGCCAGCCAAAGGCAGTATTATGAAATATAGGATTCCATAACCTCTGTTAAATACCTGATGTAAAAGCAAGTGAAGTCATAAGTATGACCAGCTCAGAGACACCCATGTCTCATGTGAGTGGATTTTTATCTCATGTGATGTCTTGTTAGTAGTACATTTCCCCTCTTAGCTTCAAGGGGTGTATTTTCCCATTTTGTTGTAGTTCTTTGAAGTCAGGTTATCTATTGAGACTTCTGGTTGTGCAGGGATGCGAAGGTTTGTTTTATACTTCTAGGCATTTTCTTTCCCTAAAAGGTTATGAAGCTTGGGGGAGCTTGAGTCTTTTTTTTCCCCTTTGTTTCTTTTTTTTTTTTTTTTTTCCCTTCACTGACACCATCTTGTATGTAGATAGAGTCACAGGTGCAAAGACTGCCTTTAGGGGATGTCTACTTTTATACTGTTAGCCTTTTATAGTTGTAGGGGCTTCCACAGCCACCACGCTTCATTCTCTCGTGGCTATTTGGATTCTAACTGGAGTTAACTACAAGTAGAAACCTGGAGGAAAACGAATTTGAAAAATAAAAGACTAGAACAGAACTGGCTGTATTTACTCCCAGATAATCTCTTTGTTGGTTTTGTTGCTTTTACAAGTGACTGCCCGTTTAGCTACAAACATGGAAACAAACAAAAAGACACAGTTTTACAGGGCACATTTCTATCCTCATTTGCTGGTCCAAGTTCAAAATTAAATGCCCTTCATCCTAATTTCCCTTAGTAAATATTTTTGCAAACAGCTGTACCTTTTTATTTTTATAGTATTAATACTCCGACAGCTGCAACTTCAAAATTCCTGGATTCTGAATCCTATTCTTAGCATTCGGGGTTTGTTTGTTATTTTTTAAGTAACCCACTTTATTGTGAATTCTTCTTTCTTTCAGGTAGGAATGAATTGATAGCCAGATACATCAAACTCAGGACAGGGAAGACGAGGACCAGAAAACAGGTAAAATAACCTACCTGGAAATTGCTGCATGTCAGTGAATGGCCCAAGGAGGCATTTTGGCTGCAGTGGCTGGCTGTGCTTCGGCTCCTAGGAGCCCCCAATTTGAGTTCCCTGTGAGGACGTCAATGTTTTAGGTGTTTTGAATTGGCTCAGTTTTCACTGTTCATCATTTCAGTGACCCTTTATTATGTGGTCTCCCGAGTTCTTTTTATATCCATACTCAGGCCCCGAATGGGCAGGTTTCGCTGCCAAGGACAGTGTGTGAACTGCTCCTGTACTGTAGTTCCAAACTTACATTTCTTTCCCAAACTGCGTACCTGTAAACATTGCAGAGGCTGCAGGTGCAGATGTACTTGCAAGTCCTGAAATTGTGCCATTTTGCACATTGTAAAATCCTGGAACAATTACCTATTAGTCATCATTTCAATGAAAAAGTAACGCTAGCAGCCTGAGTATTGGCCTAAATATAATACTGAATGATGTGCGTCCAGGGAACTGTTGCTCCTTAAGCTATTGCTTTTAGTCAGTAGCTGCTGTGACTGAAATGAAGTTACAACTTAAATACCTTTGTGCAGAGTAGTGTTAGGAATTTTCCTCTGCCCTTTGCAAGGCAGTGCCTCCCCTGGTTCTTTCAGATGTAAAGCAGCACAAATCTCTGAGGTGACCTAGTTCAGAACTGGCATGGGAGAAAAATTAGTATTTAACTAAAAAAAGAAAAGAAAAAGAGATTAAAAAAAACAACCTCATGGGTGAGTTGTTGACAGAAAAAAAAATTTGTTTTTAATGTTGATCTCTGCCAGATGAGCTGGAATGGATCTTAAAAAATATATAATCCAACCACAAGGAAGGTAAACTGGGGTCTCCTTAAGCCTGAGCAGAAGATTCCAGTTCTCTTTCTGGTGATGAGTTGTTTTCATGAGTGTTTATGACGGGGGAGAGGCTTTTCCCCAGAAATGCTACATGTGCCACAGCCGGGAGAGCCTGGTGCTGAGTCAGCACAAAGGATAGTGGCCTTCTGCCAGTGCACAGAGGCAGGCCATTGTGTGTTTGGGGGATGTCCCCCTGACAGTGGCCCTTGTGAATCCAGAGAATCCTAAAGGAACAAAATTTGGGTGAAAACAATAAAAGCCAGGAGCTGGATGCGGGGGTGAGGAGGATGGGGGAGTTCCTGCTTCTCTGTGCCTGAAAACGTACAAAAGGCAAATCAAAGAAAATAATTGAGTAACTGAAACTCAGAGACAAAGATAAAAGAATCTTTTATTATCATAAATCCTGTTTGTAGAGTTGCTGGTTGTTTGAAATGAAGTAATCACCACGCAGTCTGCGTCACTGAACTTGTTAAATGGCAGGCTCTAAATTTCTGAAGGACAGATCTGATTCCCTACATACTGAAAGCGCTGGACCTGAGCTGTCTCCTGGTCTGTGAGCTCTGGTCATTCTCCCCACCCCTTCACTGGGGCAGTCTTCTAAATTTAACCAAGTCCCTATTGAAAGAGATGTGAATTTGTTTACCTAGTGGAATCATTGTGCTTCAGAAGCCAGACTTGGCTTCGCTTCTACAGCCCGGCATCCTGGGGATGTTTTTAGGCAGCAGTTGGTGATACCTCTCCAGTGTGAACTTGTTGTTCAGCAAATCCGTGTGGTTTTCAACCCAGATTTTTAACAGGCTGGCTGGCTGGCTGTATTCACACATTTCGCTTTGTAATAATATGCAAATCCACTTGGCGCCCAGTCAATACCCAAAAGAGTGAAAGGATTAAAGATACTTATAAGGGAAAAAAAAAAAAAGAAGCTCTGCTAACTGGGACTTTCCATTTCTCTTTGATATCTAATTTACATGTCAGTATTATTTTAACATTTGCTACAGAATCCAGAGCGCTTAATGAGATCAGAATACAACCGACAGCTTCAGCTTTTTGATTCTACAGAGTGTGCTAATTTATGGATACCCAGAAAAACCAAACCCACTGCCACTGAGTTGATTCTGACTCATAGCAACCCTATAGGCCAGAGTAGAACTGCCTCATAGGGTTTCCAAGACTGTAATCTTTATGGAAGCAGACTACCACATCTTCCTCTCGCGGAGCGGCTGGTGGATTTGAACCGCCCACCTTTTGGTTAGCAGCCCAGCGCTTTAACCATTGTACCACCAGGGCTCCTAATTTATGGATAGTCTCTTCTAAATTGAGAAAAAGGGATTTTTCCCTCCTGATACTGACAAACTATAAATATTTTCAATTACATCTACCCTCACCTTTTTAATTTTATAAAGAAAACAAACCACTGTCTCCCTCTGATCCCTCCTGGAATTAGTTCTTCCCATGCCCGTGATTCCTTCTGGGCGGGAGAACTCAGATTAGCCTAAACTTTCACCCTGAATCAAGTCACTGCAGTGATGACCCAGTCTGAAAAGCTTAGAGCAGCGCTGGGGGCTTGGTGTCTGGCTGGGACTGTGTATTCCTAACTGCAGAGCTTTGTTGAGATGCAAATAACCTCCCCCCACCACCCCACCCCTCACCCTGAAACCCTCCCAAGGAGTAGCGATTTTATATTTGATTTCCTTTTTTTGTTTTGTTTTGTTTTGTTTTGTTTCCCCTCATAAACCCGAACAATGTAGGTGTCTAGTCATATACAGGTCTTAGCAAGAAAGAAAGTTCGAGAAATTCAAGCCGCCATTAAGGTACGTCTGGCTTGCCCAGTTGTAGGGGGCTTTTCATCTCCATGGTTACAGGCTTTTCCTTTGTTTCCCTCCCTTCCCCTACCCTGCAGGTGTCTAGTCACATTCAGGTTCTTGCCAGAAGGAAATCTCGTGATTTTCATTCCAAGCTAAAGGTATGCGCTTTCCTGCTTTTTGGCTTGTGGTTGCTATGCATCTCACTTCCTGTTTTCCATGGTGACTGCTGAATGCCTGGTGCTGGGATTCTCGTAACCTAGTTTCCTCGCATGTGAGAGCTGTTTACATTTCTTTGTGTCTAATCTCTCACTTTCTGTACTAGCCTCACATTAAACTCAGAGTGTGTGTGTGTGTGTGTTTCTAATAACAATGCAAATGCAGCAGAGAGCTGGTCTTGATAACTTTTCAGCCCAGAAACCTGATTTTTTTAACCTACAAATGTCCACCAAGCAGCCCAGGGATAGGAGAGGGAAAAAAAGTCCAGAGAGGCAAAGTTGATGCAGAAATTATTTAAAGAAAAGAAAAAAAAAATCATTTCCAGAGTGGTCATGAAATTCCTTTTTAAAACATGTTTAGAAATAGTGTGTGCTTTTGATGTGTTTCCAAAAACATTTATGAAAAATAGGTCTTTTTCATGTAATGTTTCTTCTGACGCAGAGAGTATTGTCAGCGAGATTTCTTCTGCATTGCTTAGTATTGTTTTTAAATGAACGGCTCTATTATTAAAAAAAGAAATTTGAGGTGTGGCCTTAAAAAAGAAGATGGATTTTAGAGATGGGAAATCTCTTGATCAAGCCCACGTTTCCAATTCCATTTACACTGAGTTTAAATTTTTTTTACACGCACCTCATTTTCTAGTCTCTTAAAATTATTTCATAGCAAAAACAGAGGTGTTGACAATTTTTTTACAACTCTGTTTTCTTCCTTTCCAAAATTTACTCTGAAGAATAGATGACTTCTTCATAATGCCCTATTTTAGAAATGTAAAGGGCTTTTTGTTTGCATGGAAGAGTTTTACTTTATAACAAAAGTGAACTTGGATCCCACATTATTTCCTATGTGCCTTTTTGTTTTGTTTTGTTCTAATTTTTGCCATACATTAAGTTAATTTGTTTTTGTTTGAAACCAGAAAGCAAAGGGTAATTCCACAGCATAGAGTGGTGAACACTGGACCCTTCCCAACTTTTTTTATGCAAATAAAGCTGGCTGTGGAACAGTACTAGTGGCCAGGAAGGAGCATTTGGTGTTGTTCCCTCTGCAGTGGGCTGGCTCGCTCGCACGTGTGGCTGATGGTGGCTGGCTTTTAGCTGCACTGGCTGAGCAGTTGGAAGACTAAGATAACTTCATAGATCCTGCTTTTTAACCAAAGGTGCAGTACTGTCTTACATGGATGTAACTACCCCAGTGTTTGCTGAAGTTCTGACTCTGTTTCTAGTTTCTTTGAGCTAACGTATTAATGATTTACAAAGAAGTTTACAGACATCAACTTTGTGTTTACATCTGGGATGGTATGAATTGCTCTATTTCTGAACTGTCAGTGTGGTTTCTATCGACACACCAGGGCACAGAGCCCTCAACTGAAAGCCCTGTGAATAAAACTCTCCCATTTAGAAGCGTTCCCCATAGAATGCAAGAAGTGCTCTTCTTTTTGCTTGCTGATTTTTAAGAGTCTTTCTCAAAAGAAACAAGTTTGCTATTGTGACGTTGCTTTATACATATACCTACACATAAACACACAGCTGTATTTGTTTTGTTCTTAAAAAATGAAAAAAGACTGTTCCCCCTACTTTCAGGCTTGACCTACTCTCTTGTGGGGCAAGCAGTGGAGGAGGCCAAAGCAGAGGCAGTAGGGTAGCAACTGGCTCAGCGTTTAAGCTCCAAGAACCACCTCCGTCTTCTTGTAGTTCCTTTCCTTCCTCCCTACCACATTATTCTTGGGAAAATGGTCTCCTTTGTTTTTTCCATCAGCTAATACCAATTGAGTGCCCCAGGCATGGAGCTCATCATGGTGGGCAGTTAACACCCAACCCCCTACTCACAGAGCTGGCAGTGTAAATCGGAATGTGAAGTAGAGGTCACTGTTGGATAAGTGTTAGCAGATGGAGCCAAAATAATACGCGGAGGGAATTCTAGGGACCAGCTGCATAGAAATAACTTTTTAAGTTTGGGAACTGAAAGGCAGGAGTTATCATAATGCTCAGCCACTTGCATGTTTCTTGTGTAAGGTCAGTATGAAGTGGGTTCCATTATTCTGATTTTGAGGAATAATATAAGGAAACTGGGGCTCAATGAGTTTAGTTGACTTCCCAAAAGTCACAAAGCTTAGTAAGTGGTAGAGTCAGGATTTAAACTCAGATCTCTCTTTATCCTAAACCACTGCTCTTTCAGACAGGTTTATCTGGTGGAGATGGGAGAATGCTTTCAAGCAGAAGGCTTCATGCCATTGTGTAGTGTATATAACCTGTCATCCGTCATATTCCTTGGAGCTGGGCATGCAGCCCTTGCTGCCAGCCCTCCACTCAGCATCCATTTTAGAAGGAAGATGAATTTTTAACTTTGAGCTCTGTGTGAAAATACAGGCTTATTCTTGGGGATTGATGCTGCGATGGTCATCAGTAACTCACGGGGTGATGTGGTCTTGGCTGCAGAGCTGCTGTGTCACCACTCTGGGCATTAGAGGAGAGCAAGGCTGACTCTTGCTTGCTGGAGATGCTGCTACCTTCACTTCTCTCATGGGCATTCTATCCTAAAGACACTATCCTTAATCTTCCTAACCAGCCATTACTTGGAAATGGGCTCAGGTCTGCTGGTCTTGTAGGGTGGATTTGATTCACAATCTTGTTCATCTCTGGAGTCTTAGTACAGCAGATTTATGACGGGGGCAGGAATAAGCATCCTCACCAAGTTTAGGGTGGTGTCAAGCAGATAGCCACAGTCTTTTTGGCCTTCCACGTTAACTAATGCAATAAACTCACTACAGTGAGGTGAAGTCATCCCAAGAGCCAATGAGGAAAGCTTCTGGGAGGGCCTCGGGGGTGGCAGGAAGTATCCAAGCTTGCAAGAGACTCTGATCTTTGCCTGAGAAGACATAAGAAGTTTTCCTAGAGAAGGTGGTGATGACTGCTGTTTCAGACACTGCCTCACCCAGGCTGGTTACCACCTCTGCACATACTCACAACTCAAAAGAATTCTGTACTCTGGGGCAGACAAAGGCCTACGGTCCTCCTGTTGAGACTGAAGCCAAGCCTGCATTTCCCTTTCCTCCCAAGGAGTTTGAAAAAGTGCTTGCCTACACCTAGGGTCACTGCCAGGTGTGGCTTACATGTGAGCCCTCTTGCCTAGAAGCCTCTCTTTGCTTCCTGGGGAAGGGTGTGGTAGGATTCTTTAGGTCAGTGGGTTTTCCAGCCTTTTTTAAGGAGCAGAACTCATGTTTCACATTGAACTCTTATTTGAAACCTTCAATATATAAATGAGTACAAGCTGTTCTTATTGACGCTCAACCTCTCTCATCCTTAGCAATGGCCCTTTGGCTGTTCCATTGAGTAAGGTTTGACAAGCTACAATGCTTTAAGCAGAAGGCAGAGGAGATGCTTACCTCTCAAGCTGTCCCTCCCAGCCTTTCCAGAACAGCTCATGAGTCCCATTTCAAGATCATGTTTTCGAAGTTCTGGAGCCTGTCCTGGGTATACCATGTTCCTCTGAAGACAACAGACTGAAGGAAACCATTAGAAGAGAGTGCTCATTCTTGTGTCACATTTATGGATGAAGCATCTAGCTACAGAAGTCACTCCCTTGAAAATCTCTTAGAATAAATTCTAAAGGCCAGCTTTATGCTTCTGCTGCCAAGGATCCGAAATTGACAGTGGTTTTCCCAAGTGCTTGTTTATGGGCTAGATCACCCCAAAATGTGTGGCTTTTAATTTTAGTTTAAAAAAAAAAAAAAAAAAAAAACTGCTTTGGTAAAAACCTAGGATTTCCACATAGATTTGAACTTTAAAAGCACAGAAATGATTACTTATTTCAGTCCAGTAAAGTTTTCATTGAGAACCCAGTGTGTTCCAGGCACTTCAGTAGATGTTGAATATATAGAGTTGAATTAACAGAGTCTTTATTCTTGAGGAACACTGAACTTTTCTATCATTTTCAGCCTTGTATTTGGGGAAAATATATGATTTCTAGTAGGCCATCCCCAGCTAATGGGCTCAGTAGTAGAAATTAAGCAGAGTAGTGCAAATGCAGCAGAAAGAATGATTACTTCTGAGTGTAGGAGAACTGAGAAAGCTTCATGGAGGAGGTGTCATTAGAACCGACCCCAGAAGAAGGCAGGGAATTTCTCCCGGGGTAGGGGTGTAAGTGTCGGGGTGGGGGCGGGGGCGGGACCATGAGGGACATGATGTAGTTGGAGGCATGGGATGGAAAATGAGACTGGAGGAGCCTGATGGGAAGATAGGATACCTCTGTGGACAATGGGGAGCACATGGACATTCCAATTTACATTTTGGAGAGCTCTCTCCAACCATTTTTTGGAGGATAGCTAAGAGAAGCAAAGCTGGAAAAGGGAAGACTAATTCAGGGGCAGCTGTGAGATCCCAGGTGAGAGAGGTTGGTGAGGGCCAGGACTAGGGGTCAGCCACACATTCCTGGATGGCAGTAATCCTTATTATCATTCTTGGCTGGCTTCCCCATTCGGGTCCACTCTCTGTCCGCTCTGTACTTTTTCTTTTTTATGTTTTTAAAGAGTAAATTATTTTTAAGTGTTCTATTCTTATTAAAGCTGAAAAGTGTACACCAAATGATTTTCAACAGTGGCAGTTAAAACTTATTAAAGATTGGGTTCTCTTAAAGTAATGTTAATTAACTGGGAGTGTGCATCAAAATTAGCTATGAAATTCTTGATGTTGCCAAATGTTAAATATAACAAGTAAAAAAGTACGGAGACTAATATGTTAAATACATTACTGCTACCCACAAATGATTATTTTTATTATAACATAATTTCCTTTCATTTTTTTAAATGAAAGAAATGAAATGATAAAATGTTATCCTGTACTTTTTCTAATTTCCTCTGCCCACACTCCTTCCCCAACCAATTTCAATCTCAGTCTCTCTGTACCTCTCTACCTCTGTCTCTCAGTATTTCTCTCTTTCTCTGACAGTC